TGAGCATCCCGAGGAGAACGTAAAGAGCCGCGGCGAAGAAGGTCGGGGCGATGATGAGGGTGGTGATTTGCATGAGGAAGGCGTCGTTGTTGTAGGGACACTTGGCTGACCAGGTGCGGCCTGCCCAGCCTATTGCTTCGGCTGTTGTTGAAAGAAGCAATGTTAGTTTGGGTTTTTGCCCCCCGAGTGTTTATTGGGTAAGTTGTTGACAGTTGGGTGTACTTGGGGTTTCATGTTGTGGATGATGTGCAGGGACCGGTGGAACATGATCCACCGCGATGGCATTGACAGCCCAGTCGACATGACATGTGTAGTGTAAGTGCAGAGATGAATGACGGACAGCAACAAATAAACGAGAAAGGAAAAGGATAATACGCACTGATAGCCCCAACCATCATCAACCCCGACGTCCACTGCCGAAACCGAATCAGCTGGATGAGATGACCGATGACACAAATGCCAAAGAGGACATCAAAGGCAATGCCGGCTCCCAGCGTTGGTCGGTACCCGTAACTAGGGTTGACACCTTCGATCAAGTCCGGATAACATTCTTTGCGCAGTTCCATCCATGCAGTCCACAGGTCCGGGTTGATGCCATCCGGGATGTCGGACCCGGATGTATTGTTGGAGCTCATGACTTCTCTTATTTCCGGACGGGACCGGGACGGCGGTATGTGGAGTCACGGATAGAGTGGCTTGAAGGTGTGCAGGTGCCAGGTATGTAGGTGTTGGTATAGAGGACCTGCTGATTCGGTGTCCTCTTTTAGGGCAGAGTAGAAAAGTTACGATGGTTATGGAAAAAAGGTCAAAGATCAAACAAGCAGAACGACGATTTGGCAAGCTGGAATTCAGGGTGCTTGCCGTTGAAAGAAAGAAACTGAGAAAACTGTGGATAGGCCGGCCTCCGAGATATCCGGGAGATTAAAGTATAAAATTTGCTTCTAGTCAAAACTTAGTCCGAGCAAAGGCGGCCGGCCGCGTTCCATATAAGCCGTTTTCCAAAAATCCCGTTTTCGAAAAGGAAGAAAAAAGAAAAGCCAAGAAAGGGCTTTGCTCACAAGCTATCAGAAAACGCGTACACTTCGAGGCTCAGATGCCTTGCGCTCATCCATCCATCTTCTGTTTCGGACTCTCCCGTCTCCAAGTGGGTCTCTTTGCGCCAGAAGGCTGAATATGGGACCCCTGCTCTGGACGGCACGAGATGTTCTTCACGGTATGGGTACTGTGGTTGCGAGCAAAAGTCTCACCTTCCTGTCAGGTACCGGGCACGGACCAGTACAACAGGAAGGCAAAGCTTCGAGACTCCGAATGGCAACTCGAGTGCCAAAGATCGTCAGCAACGCAACCCACGGGTTCAACTTGCGCATCTTATCACAGTACATACAGTAGACTATTTATTCAGAACTTTGCTTTTTTCCTGAACGTGATACTACGTACATCCTATCCCTCTGATGGTGAAAATGTATCATTTTTGCCAAAACCGGAAGGGTCTTGCAGTTGTAGTGTACTAGCGCTTTGTTGACGCAGCTAGCTACCTAGCTAGGAAGTTCATGTAAAAGATCGACGATGACAAAAGTGTTCGTTTTGCTGATAATAACAGCGATTCTGCAATGTCTTTTGAGGTGTTGTGATGGAGTTATCGAAATGCATTGTTGATCGCGAATATCATGAGATTTGTGCCCGTCGTCTTGAGGGTGGAGAAAGAAATTCGTCCGTTAAGAAGCTTTTCGGGACCCTTCGTTCTTTGCAAGAGGATGGTAATTCTATTGATTGATTGATAATATGTCAAAAGTTCTTCAAAAGCTGGTGGACTTGAGATATCTGCGTGGGCACAGATGTGCACCTCTGCTTGAATAAACACAAGGTGGATGAAATAAAGTTGTTCATTGAATGGCCACTCCCGGATCTTGGCAAGAATGATTCATTTTCACCGTCAAAGGAATGGCTCACAAGCCGGAAGCACCTTGCAGAGAGCCAGCCTTGCCCATTGCCCAAAACACCGAACGTAAACGGAAACGGAAGGGCCCCGGAGAAACTTGCCGGATGGAATCGATGATTAGCCAGGGAATCGAGAGATATCAGGCAAGAGTGGAAGGATTTGCAGGATTGTAGTGTAAAGAAGGATGGATAGGGTAAGAAACAAGACGGTCAACTTCCTGTCATTCTGCAAAGGCGCCGGGCCGCGCCCAACCTGACCCGGCCTGTCAGCTTCTTGAGGGCAGTGCAACGTGGATGACGGCCGACGGGGGTGGGAGAATCAAACCCCCGATTCGTATACTGCCGCTCCAGTCGACTCCAGATATGGCAAGGCAACCGCTGTTCTAGCAAAGATCGAGATGCCCTTTACGGAGTGCCAAGATACAAGCCTCTTGCTCGGACGGTTTGTGCATCCCGAGACGGAGGGTTGGTTTCACCGTTTCAGGGGCATTGCGATCCGATAGTCCAAGTTGTGATATTCGGCTTCGAAGCTTGAAGTTGCCCTTTGGTGATGAGGAAGTCCAATTTGATCCGTGTGAATATGCCTCGAGAGTCAAGACCATAAGCGTCAAGCCAGTCGGTAGCTCACTGTGATAAGCTTCACCATCCAGTTTCCCTCATCAGGTAGCAATGAGAATATTAAATGATATATTCTCCTATGTCAATCTTCTCGGTTGACACCATCACCAGGCGCAACAACAAGGCCAGCTCAAGAAACCAAGTTCAGAACCACCCGAGTGTGCCCAGGTCCCTCTGTGTCATCGTCAAATTCCAATCGACGACCTACCTGCTCAATGGCAGGCAGCGCAGGCTGTAAACCTAGCCGAATCAGACGGGCGCACGAAGCGCCAACGGGGCACGGAATTCTGACGATGCTGACGCTCAGGCGAAGTGAGGCTTCTTCAAACTTTGGTACGCGGCTGTTTTCCGTTGTTGATCAATCATGATGCAGAAGGTGGACAAGGATTCATGTGGTTGTATTGTGCAGAGTGTGGTGGTGGCTGTGTGGGAGGATCAAGGGATGTGTGAGCGTGTCGACGGGGAGATTGAGGTTGGTCCTGGATATCATTTGGTTCAAGTTGGCTGGTTATGCGGCGTGTTGGGAAGCTTCCGTCTGCTACCGGCATATGCATTGCGTGGAGGTAAGTGGAGTTGAGACTATAGGCTGTACATCCACCAAGAATCTTCAACAATGGCCGTTTGGCGCAACGGTAGCGCGTTACTTTCCGGTGGTAAAGGCTCTGGGTTCGAGTCCCAGGATGGTCGACTTTGATTATTTCTTTTCTCTTTTCTTTTGCAACCCTTGAACTTCATATCATTCATCCTTGCGCAACCGAGTCTTTTTGTTCCTCTTCCTCTCCTTATCATCTCCGGACTTCCAGTCTTTGAGGCCGCTTGCCTGGATTCGTTCTTTTTTGAACTCATTATCTCCACAACGCTCTTTCATGTGGTTTTTTCTTCCTTCGCCAGTTGAATCTGGGTAAACTCATAATCTAAAAATACCCTCACCCTCCCTCATATTTACTATAGCAGGTTCTCGACGGCATCTTGCCATGAAATTGAGCACCTATGACAATGATACAGGTTCAACTTTATCAATGGCTACCCCCCAAATCCTTCAAACAGCCCACAAGCCACTTGATCGACAGATGCTGTCCGACTTGACTTATTCAGTTCACGTGGAAGTGGTACCCGTACCAGTTCCGCTTCATGTAGTCATTTGACTGCTTGTGTCCCTTTGCTCGGAACTCACAACCGGTTGCAACGTCAAGTACCACTAGCTTGATGTTTCATAGTTCGAGTACTGTACTGAGTAATCATGCACTGCCATGTTGAAAGACATCGCTTCTGGCCTCCATAATTCGTCAAGGGAGAATGCCAGATGTCCAAGCAATATTATCAGCAGCACAGTTCCCCATCTTCCATGATCCGGCTCTATCAACCATAGTCTGTATCACATGCCACAGCAGACCACCAGCCACCCCGTGATGGGATCGAAACGCATGTTCAGGATAAATTTTTGGTACAAGGCTGGTGAACCATGTGTTCGGGTCGAGTCCCGGGACATGGTCCTACCGCTGTTGATCTTTGGCCATTGATGATCCAAACCGTCAACCTCCAAGTTCTACCTTCCAAATCAACAATGTTCAACCGGGAATGAGGGTATCAGAAAGCGAGGATCACGAGCACGGGAACTTATTTGTCGATGGCTGCTCAGACGGAGCTCCCTGATCGGGCTAGGCCGAGCATCGGCGTCGGTGCGGAAGCTAAAGGCGCCAGGGGAGGAAGTGGCTCCTGAAGACCTGGCATTGACCAATGGATAAAGTCCCGATAAGAGACTCCAGGTGGATAGGCTTGCCCCGCATTTTGGTCGAGGCGGTACGACTCCACTAAAACTTTTTCTTTCCTCCTCGTGCCCCTCCTTGGCGACAGTGGGTGGTCGGTCGGGACTTTTGCATGGAATCCCGTGTCTGGACACTTGCTCTACGCTATGTAGAGGCCGGCATCTCCCAGCATTTACGATTCTCCAGACGACTTCCCCTGTGTCCCCTTGTTCTGCCCTCTTTTTTGATTTTTTTTTCTGAGGCTCCGCTTGCCACACTTGATCTCTCGCGGATCGTCTGTGGTGCTCGCAAGTTCGCAGTTTTAGAGACTACTTATCGCCCATCACTCACGCCCCGTCTCCGGCCCGGCTGGTAGTCCTGGCAGCAGACGAAGAACCAAAACCCGAAACGAAACCGAAGCGACTTCGGCGAATCATCGATAACGAAATTGTCTTGTCTCTTTTTTTCTTCTTATTTTTTTTATTTTTTCCCAGCTCCGAGTCTTATTCCATCTCTCGGCGCCCACCCCGATACTTTGTCAACCACGGAAGGACTCTGGGTCAGGTCCTAATCGATATCCACTTTAGAGTCATACCTCTACCTTCGCGGTCCAGTTTCACGACCTAACTTTATCGAATCCTTCCATCCGACCGTCGAGCCGATCATACTCGTATTGTTTGTCCCATACGATCCAGCAAAATGTGTGGTATTCTCGCCCTTATCCTCGCGGATACCGATGCGTCGGACGCCTCTGCCGATTTGCACGAGAGCTTGTACTATCTTCAACACCGTGGTCAAGATGCCTGTGGTATCGCGACCTGTGGTTCTGGAGGTAGAATCTTTCAGTGCAAGGGCAATGGCATGGCCTCCAAGGTCTTTGACGACGGCAAGCGCACGGTAGACCTTCCCGGCTACATGGGCATTGCCCATCTTCGTTACCCGACTGCCGGAACTAGCTCTGTATGTATCCGTCCCCTCTCATCTCCGACCCAGCACTTGGTTTCAAAGGCCGAGCTATTGTCTGTGCATTTCGCCCGTTCAGTTTGAGAGACCCTACATATTGTCAACATCCATCCTACGTCCATATGCCTTCTGGATCACCGTTTGGCTGATAGATCACCCATAGAGCGCCGAGAGTCAGCCTTTCTACGTCAACTCGCCCTACGGCATCTGCTTCGCGCACAACGGTAACCTCATCAACGCTCCCGCCCTGCGCAGCTATCTCGACCAAGAGGCCCATCGTCATGTGAACACCGACTCTGACAGCGAGCTGATGCTCAACGTCTTTGCCAACGCCCTGAACGAGACCGGCAAGGCCCGTGTCAACACCGATGACATCTTCAGTGCCCTCAAGAAGACGTACGAGAGGTGCCAAGGTGGCTGGGCCGTCACTGCTATGATTGCTGGCTTCGGTATCTTCGCCTTCCGTGACCAATACGGCATCCGCCCCCTCATTATGGGATCGCGGCCCTCCAGCACCCTCGAAGGCGGTATCGACTACATGTTCGCTTCCGAGAGCATTGCTCTCCGTCAGCTGGGCTTCAGCAACTTTCAGGATATCCTTCCGGGACAAGCCGTGTTCATCCAAAAGAACGGGCAGCCTCAGTTCCACCAGGTTGTTGAGCAAAAGGCTTACTCCCCCGATATCTTCGAGTATGTTTACTTCGCCCGCCCGGATACCATCATGGATGGAATCTCCGTGCACCGCAGCAGGCAGAACATGGGCGTGAAGCTTGCCAACAAGGTCAAGGAGATCCTCGGAGAGGAGGGTGTCAAGGAGATCGATGTGATCATTCCCGTCCCGGAGACCAGTAATACTGCCGCTGCCGTGGTATCAGAGCAGCTTCGGAAACCCTTCTCTAACGGTTTCGTCAAGAACCGTTACGTCTACCGCACCTTCATCTTGCCCGGTCAGAAGGCCAGGCAAAAGAGCGTCCGGAGAAAGCTCAGCGCCATGGAGTCCGAGTTCAAGGACCGTGTCGTCCTGCTCGTGGATGACTCCATTGTCCGTGGCACCACCAGTAGGGAGATTGTGAGCATGGCTCGTGAGGCCGGTGCCCGCAAGGTTATCTTTGCCAGCTGTGCTCCTCCCATCATCTACCCCCACATTGTATGTCCACGTTTCAACCTGCAAAAATGACTATCAACACTAACACGTTTCCAGTACGGTATCGATCTCGCCTCTCCGCAGGAGCTCATCGCCCACGAGAAGACAAGAAGCGACATCGCCAAGCACATCAATGCCGATGATGTTATTTACCAGGACCTTGCCGACCTTAAGGCGGCGTGTACTGAGGCCTCTCCCGATCACCAGAAGATCACCGACTTTGAAGTGGGTGTGTTCTGCGGCAAATACCAGACCGACATCCCTGAAGGTTACTTCGACCACCTGAACGAGAGCCGTGGCACGAAGCGGAAGGCCGCCGTTGTGAACGGGACCAACAAGGTCTTGGTCGCCAATAGCGGCCCGGTCAATGTAGGTCCTCCACTAATACGAACCTCGCAGTTGAGGCTGTCACTAACACTCATAAAGGTTTCTACCCCCGACCCCCCTGCGCTCATGGAGAACCCCGAGAACAGGCAGGATATTAGGTATGTTTCTTTCGTCATATCATACGATGACGCTGTTGGCTAATAGAAGCGGTAATAGCATCCATAACATTGCCAACTCCTAGTAGGCGATTACCATTTTACGGAGTTACGGAACACTCGTAACCAAAAAGACGACGATTCGATATTTGTCTTGCGTAAACGGTGACTGCGCTTGAGAATCTGCATCACATTGCGCATCATAGTAGAGTATGAGTACGGGCGTCCCTGGATGATGATTTTCTATATGGCATGATATGCCTGGGGTAGGAAAGTTTGTCTACTCATGCACGCCCGATACACGATCACAACAAACAAAAATTTACAGATAGATGCATAATTACGGAGGAGGCCGTTCGGAGTTCTTTGCTTGTACTTGGGAGGCAACAAGCCGGATGGCATGACAAGCCCCATCAAAAATACTTTGTCTCATTCTTGTTCGCCAGTCGAGAGCTCCTACCGAGATAATCTCCGTTTTTAGAGGACTCTTGTAACATAACACATTAGAGTAGCGAAAGAGATACAGTACAGTAGTATAGAGAAGTTTTATAGCAATAGCGGATGGTGGCATATGTAAAGTGGTGGTATCGCATGCTTCCCATCTCCCAAGCGTACATGACTCGGAGGTTCTGACAGAAACTCCCGCTTATTTCTCTCATGGTGAATCGAAGTAGCCTATCCTCCGACATGTTCCGCAGTAGCGTTTTATTCAAATTGCCGTGGCAGCTTCTAAAATCGAAAATACAGACAGACGAAAGTAAACTTGGCATGAAGTTCGTTAGTGCAATACCCCCTTTCTCTCTCCATTAAGTGAAGTTCACGACATCGCGGAATATCCAAGACGTTGAACGTGTCCGTCCACACGTAGCATCTCACAACCTCACAGGGCCGGGATATATGCTCAGATGGGAAATGGCGCTCTTGAAACTCTTTACACAGAGACGCAGATTACATCACTTCGTTCCTCTACCTAGGTAACTTGGTCCTTGCTTGTTACAGTTTGCACATATGCGCTCAAATTAATCAATTTACATAGGAAAAGTTCGGGTTCTTGACAAGTGTCCTGGACATTTCCCAACACAATTCTCACTGCGGGTTGTATGTGACAAGTCAGATGTTACAAATTGTATTGTTCTTTACGGCTGGCAGGATAAAGTGTTATGAGCACAAAATGATCGAAGTTGGGAGATTCCACAAACTCCGTCAGAACTTGGATGCTGGCTAGCTCAAGCACTCAGGTTATTGACTTTAGACTTCAAAGTCCCGAAAGATCAACTTACACCCAAATTGGAGATTTTGGAGATGGTAAGTACCTATTTTTCCACATGAAATGACCAGAAATATCGGGGGCAGAGTCTGCCAGAGGTATCGTCACTGCTCTGAGACAAACCGCCCTTTCCCGCTCGCGCTGATGAAGAAGTCCCTACCGAGGATTCGTTCGACCGATTGCTTTGGCTTCCCTTCGCTTGAACACTCTGAACGGAGACCTCGGCCGCTCAGACAGGCGGAAGGAGCGCTTCTTGTCGCCTTCGATTTTTCTGTTTAAGTGAGCGAGCCATCCGGGGTAGTCACCTATATATCAAGCTCTCAGGTTTCAGTTGCAGCTGATTATGGCTCACTCAGGAGCAAAGTGCCAGTGTGTGGGAGTTGAATCTTGGTTGAAGCTGAGGAGGAAGGTGAAATTAAGATGCGGTATGATTGATGTTGGATGCGGGGTTAGCGCCTGCCTGACCAGCGCGGCCAATGCCATTTACCTTTTTTTGGGAGGAATGTGCCAGGGGTTGTAATGGGAATATCGAGCAATGAATGGGTGGCTTCAAAACCTGATTGGAAAGACCAACCAAGCCTTCTACTGCCGACATTCACGCAAATTTTTCTTAATCTTATTCACGACACTAGTATCGAAGAAAGCATCACCATTCTTCACCCCTCGACATGCTGTCTACGAGATCAAACGGAGAATTCGATAACTGTTCTCTTCTCAGAATCTACCAACCATGACTTGATTCCCCTGCTTATCATAAGAAACGTTGATTTCGTTGGCAAACGACGCCAGAGATGACGAAAACACACATCAGCTTGTCGAATAGTCCTTGTTAAGCCCCTTTTACCTACCTCGGATCAAGAACCAAACCACAAGTTCACGCGAGCCAGCAAGCTACTTGCGTGACGAACAGCTCTGGCATCACAAGTCATCGATGCAGGTGCTGGGACAGGGCATGTCGGACTTCTTTCTTCGAGACGGATACGTGCATCGGTTTCCGTCTCTTCTCTGGTGGAATTGGATGATACTCACCAAACTGCTGCTGTGTAACCTGGACCAGCTGTCAGACCTGCTGCACACCATACCCCAAACCACAATCCGCAAGTCCCCGGACTTCCGCTTCCAGAAGGGGACTTACCACTAAACCGCTCTCAGACAATGTTTGCTACCACTCTGCTGCCTGTTAACGGGGACACCAGCTACCCGGTCCGTGGAGCCGCCGTCAGCTTCAGCATTCTCGGAAGATCCCCGGAGGTCTTAGCACACAGCTTCACGCAGGTGACATACAAGTCAGGAGCGTAGTCGCTCGAGTGCACCCAATTCACCCTTCAATGATTGGCTGCAGCGTGCTTGTTTGCTCATCACAGGGAGTCCTGACGTCCTCACCATGATCCTCGGTTCCGATGGCTTGTCCACGATCTTCCCAAGCGCCAACCGCAGCGGGCCGGCGGACAGGGCCGTCACCGGGTATATATACGATGGTTCCGAGTGCAAGCCTTATATACCAAAGCGGTTGGTGGATGTGATGGCCAGACTTGAGCTCCAAACGAGCAGTCGCAAGAGATACGGGGCAATCTGGACAACGTAGTTATTCCTTTACTGGTTGATGCGAGGGCCGAAGGGGCTGAATTACGACCAACCGACCGTATCCTTTGCTATGGACGCTTGATCTTCCGCTAATGGCAAAAAGCCGTTCGTATTTGTGACGATGTCTTGCATGTCATGGCCTCAGATCGCTCAAAGAACCAACGACATGCACCGATCTCCACTGGACACTCGAATCTGAGAACGTAGCTTGACATTTCGGGAAGCTGATTCAACCCCCACGTACCAAACAAATGTTTGTCTTGTACAGCTGCAGGTGTTGACCACTGTTTTGTAAGACGCGATGTGCTTCGCTTGCAGTGAATCATACTATGCCGCCTGGGCTGTCTTCTTGCAACGTACTATCAATGAACAAGCGCCATTGTCCTCAAGCCACAGCAAAGGCTCTGCCGAATCGTTATGACCGCCAGCTTGACAACAACAAGACAAATATATGATCTATCACCCACGGGGCTGAACATACTCGATATTCCCCCTTTTCTTCTTTTCTCAAATCAACCACCAACATCACAGATCCACGCTGTCTGGCTGCTAATGACTTGGCATGAGCAATAATTGTTCTGGGATCAAGGCGAATGTTCGCACAGAGATGTTTGTCTACACATTCGATATACCTTGCGCACGTTGTGCACAAAGGCCATGATTACCTCCATTCTGGCAGCTTGCGAGACTGTGCCTAGGTCTGTATACAAGCCTGCCGAATCTGAGTATAAAGATCCCCCGTGGTGCTCACCTTTGCAACGTCTGATCAGTTCTATCAGCACACACTTAGGCCTCCAGATCAAAGATTTCTGCTAGGATTTCAGGCGTCCCATAAACTCGAAACACTCCTATCATCTGAATACTTTCAGTTTCCATGCTATCAAAATCTTAATCTCAAGATTCACATAACCCACGACCTATAAAGACACTTCACAGGCGCTAGCACAATATATACAACAGGTAATTCAAATAACGCGTCCCCCCAAGCAATTAGCTAGATACTTCACAACAGACTAAAGCTAATCGTTACCCCCAGCTAAAGGCAAACCACTTTACTACTACTACTACCACCACCACCATCACCACAACTACTCAACCTCAGCCCCCATACAAAAAAGATGTGCGACTTTGACGAATTCGTCTTCACCTGTGGACACTCCACGTTCCGTCTCAAAGCCTACTGCCACCGCGCGCGCAACGACCCCTACAAGGAGTGTCATTACGTCAAGAAGCTCCGGGATGTCTGGGACCAGACGTATCCGTGCAGCGAGTGTGTGAACAGGGCACAAGCGGCGGCAGCGGCACAAGGAATGCACATGGGAAACGAGCAAGGGCAGCAAGGTCAGGGGCACCAGCAGGGGTATCAAGAGCAGTATCAGCAGTACTAGAGGTACGTGAAATGGATGAGGTGGCTATTTGTGAGTATCTAGTAAGGAGGTTGAAAGGGGGGGGGGGGGGATATGAGAAATGTTTATGAGGAATCATGTGCCAGTCATTACGATGATGGTTGGGAGACGAGATACCATTTCGGGGGCTGTCAATGGGTGGTGGTATACTGATAGGAGTACGTAGAAGGGAATTTAATGAACACGCTGTAGACTAAGTTATGAAATCAAATTGGATTCAGTTGCGCAAGGGGATTTCTTTCTCTTTTTTCCAAAGAAAAAAAAAAAAAAAAAAAAAAAAAAAAAAAAAAAAAAAAACGGCATGTCCAGCGCGTGTGTGATTGCGAAGCGGACTATCATGATGGATTTCACATCTACTGACATCAGAGGGACACAGATATCAGAGCCCTACCAGTAAGGCACCTTACGGATATGATAGGCAAGGAGCTCTAGGGCTAAGGTGGATTGAGAACGAGCAGAACATTTGTTGACTCAGCGAAGTTTAGGGTTATGCGGCCGCGATGTAAAATCCGTGAATTAGACATGTCGTTGGGAAAGAAAAAAAAAAAAAAAAAAAAAGAGCCGAGGGGTGAGGCGGATCAAAGGGGGAAATAAGATTTTCCGACATCACTCAAATCGCTGAGAAGACGTCAGAAGAAAAAAAGGGAAGTAACAAGAACGTTGAAAGTGCTGCTCCCGTCTGTTCCCTGCGCCCAGCAGGCAAGGGTTCAGTTGCGAATTTGTGTGTGTGACGTGGTTGTTGTATATACCTATGAAAGGATTTTTCCCGTATTCGCTACGTCGAATCCAAGAATCATCTTGGTCCGGTCCATTGATGATGTGAGGGAGAAGAAATGAGGAACACTGCGCTTTCCTATGTAGGTTAACATTGAGGTAGGGGTAAGATTAAAATCAATCTCCTGATACTTAGTCTGTGACGAAGAATTCCTTGCTACACAGGATCACTCTTGTGGTGTTGGAAGTACAGTACATTACATTACAGCGCCACGGTCTGGGTGGGTGCATTGAAACGCCCCGGCCGTCGGGAGGTCATAAGTACGACTGCTTGGTTGGACACGATGCTATGATCAATTTATAGATATATGGTGTTTTGTAGTTGCAAGATATTAGAATGGAGCCTCTTTTCCGTTTCTCTTATCAAAGGGACGCTGCACTGATGAAGCATAGGGAATGTTGAAAGGTAAGTTAGGAGACCGAGGACAGGTGCCCAAGACTATATCCTGTCTGTCTAGAAGACTCGAAGCACGAACCGGAGATTTTTTTCCACAAGGAATGCGAAATAGAAGCGCCTCCTACCGCAAAGCCGTGAGAATAGCAAAGGCTGGTGACGGACGAGAAAGCGGAAGGGCACACACCTGTGTGACCTACACCAGGATTTTGACAGCGGGAAATTCTTTGGCGTCCACCACTAGTTACCGGCTGGGCGTGCCACCACGAGACGGGGAAACTAATTTGTTCATGCAAGGACGCGCGCAAGAAAAGGGACTCATCGATTGTTGTTCAGCGACTGTGGCAGAAAGAAGCAACTTGTTGTGTAGGAGTTTGAGTGGATTGGATTTAACGAACAAATGGTAGCACCAACTGGACTGAGCTAATCATCATGACATCAAACATGTGAATTGATGTATCCAGCATTGTGGCGGGCTTCATGGGAGAGTTGTAGGCTTTGCGGGAAAAAATGGCGGCTTTGGCCGGGGTTATGAAAAGCATCGCCAGAATGAACCTGGGACGGTTGCCGATTGACCTAGTGTAAGCTACAGCTTGAAGCTGAATCTTTACTTCTAGCTGAAGGTAGTTCACAGCCTTGAGCCAGGGTAACCTGAAGAGGGTATCGAGCTAATAGTGCTAGCGGGTGAGAAAGTGAAACTTCAGAAAAGGATGACTTGAGCAAAACCGAAACATGTATTAATTATTCAGACGTAGTCCTTACTCCATGTTAGTTGCGCCCTCGACCTTGCCCACTACGTTGTAGCGCTTGGAGAAGAAGGTGATCCAGTCGTTAAGCGTCGACTTGTCCTTGTCATCAAGATCTTGCCAGTCTGGCCTGACATCCTCGGCCTTGGTCGAAGTCTTGCCGAGAGCGCGCGAGGCGTCCTTGCCAGCGAATACTAGAGCATGACAGGTGTTAGCGATGAGTGAGCAATGATATCGTTTGACTTTGCTTTCGCCGTGAAAGGTATGTTTTGACCGGCGTGACTTGTAGACAAAAAGAGATATGTCGTGATGAGGTGGTACTGAGATTTCAAAGGGGGGCGCAAGAAGATGTAAAAGAAATACCGTGATAAGAGCCTCCAGGCTGGTACGCTTTGTTGCCCGTTACGTCGTAGACGATGCCCTTGATGGCGACGTAACACTTTCCACCATCAGCACCTGAGGTAAAGAGTGTTGTCAGTGTCATTGTCTGAGAAAGAATAAAAAGTGAAGAGAACCTCTACGGCCGGGTGGATGAGTGAGGTCTTACCGTTCGCCTTGGCCAACTCCTCAACGGAAATAGGGTCGTCCTTAGGAGGGTTCAACTGAACAGGAACCTTGGGCTCAAACTTTCCAGACATTGTGATGATAAGATGGTAAAGTCTTTATACTTGGATTTCGTGATCAGCGACATATACCATTTTAACTATCTCTTTTGCAGTCCGAGTCCTTTCAAAATGAAAGAGGACCAGTCAACCGGAAGGCATCATCGGTGATAAGCCCATCCGCACCTCATGAACGGCAAATCGCAATTACCCTGAGCTGGCCATGTCATGCGAAAAGTTCAAGTGAACATACCTGTGAAGAAATGGCAAGAGCTTGACGACTGTGTACTAAAACGCTGAATGGTGATGATTCTTGGAAAGAGCAATCTGAACCTCAGTCGCACGCAATTCTTGGTGACGGCGTCAACTGAACTCGGCCACAAGCGCCAAGCTTGGAACGCCGCTGGCGGACCGGGGGGTTCTTAAACCTCGGAACGGCAACGGCAGGAACGAGCAGACAGGCAGGGGCAGGGGTTAGAAGATGACTTGCAGTTGGCGACGGCTGTTGGGGTCCTTAGGGTGGACCCCCCGAGGGACCCCCATGTTCCCTCTACTATGTACCGCACTGCGGGGGAAAGTCCACAGGGCATCAGTACGGCAAGTCGCCAAGCACTCAAGCAGGGCATGGAAGTAGCTCCCCAAAGAAGCTTCAAACGACATCCATGCATCTTTTTCAACGTCACCTCGAAAAAGACCACGTCCAACATCTCGGTCAATCTACGCATGAGAATTTTTGGATTGCTCTAAGCGACTTTGAAACTTCTTCTGGTCGTTATCTTGTACTTTGGTTGATGCTTCAATTGACAATTCCATAGCTCCATTGAGCTCTTCATCTCCCATTTGAATTCCGCTGCTCCAGTCAGCGCCAAAGCAACTTGAGGACTACCCACTCTCCCTGTCACAGCACGCCTACCGTCTCTACCTTTGAGAAACCGCGGTCATGTCCCTCGCACGTCTTTCCGCTTCTGGATCCCTTCGCGGCTCACCATCTGGATCCCCTCTTCTCCTCCGTCTTGAGCTCATCAGGCGTGGCCAAATACACAATGCTCGCCCTCTCGTCGCCCATCGCTCCGTGACTTCTCCACAATGTCGCTCCCTTCAAACAACATCGAGGACGTTGGTAGACAAGAACAACACCAACAAGAAGTTCTCACCTCAGCCCCAGCCCGTTCCCCTTTCGCAGATCCCTCGTCTCATACTTGGGGCTGCTGTGGAAAATCTTCGTGGTCTGAAGAGGAATTTCCGAAATGGTACCTTCAAGACTATGCTCCGTCAGAACCCCGAAGAGCTGGTGTTTGCTCTGGTCTTGTACGTATATATATGAGCCAATTCCTGTTCTCTTCAAGATGCTAATCCTTATCCAGGCTTGCTGCACTTGCTGTTGTCATGGTGTACATCATTCGGGTTTACTTCACCTACTTCTACTCAGAGCAGTTCACCAAATACCCTCCTCCCATTGCAAAAGCTCTGCGCCGGGCACTGTACTACAGCAACTACAATCCCGACCAGCAGATGGCCCTCAAGTACTGGAAGCAGGCTCTTGAGCTGTGTGATGAACTCCACCTCGATACCTTCTCTGACGAAGTCATGGGCATCAAGATCGAGCTTGCGGCTTGGCTCGAGAAGATTGGGAGCTACGACAACGCAGTCAAGGTGCTGGAGAATCTTTCGGGCGACTGCAAGCGCTGGGTTGACCTTATGGAGAAGAGCGTCAAGGAAGGAGGAAAGATCCCGCCATCGCTACTACCTCCTGTGGTGCCCCAGGATCCAACTGGCCAGCCTGCCACCGCTGAAGAGCCCAAGCAGCAGGAAACTCCCGAGACCATCTGGGGCAGGCGGACTCGCATTCTTGGCAAGGCTGTTGGAATCAATGTCAAGCTTGCCAACCTCTACTCCTTCTACCTCGCTAAGCCCGAGGAGGCCCACGAACGCCTGATCTGGGCCGTCGAAACCGCTCTCAACGAGCTTCGTAGACGAACTGTCGAGGGCCTCAAGGAGGGAGAAGGCAAGTGGATGAGTTCAGAGGAAATTGGCGGTGCCTTGGAATGTGAGTGTTCTCAGTTTTCTCGCCTCATTTCACACTCTCAACCTGTCCACAACCCGCTAATGTTGAATATTGCAGCTTTGGGACATAGCTACGAGGCCAAGTCGCAATTCCACCTGGCTCTGCCGCTCTTCTTCCAAGCCCTTCGGTTGTCTCAACACCAATGCCACAGCGCTACTATCAGTCAGTTTCCATCACGCATTATCCTCGGTGGCGGATATTTGCGCACAACTAAGCTGACAATTTCCTTCAGTGAACAACATTGCCGCTTGCTTTGCGCAGCACCCTATAATGCCTGCTGGTCAAAGCCAAGTGGATACCCTGATGGGTGAAGAAGTGGCTTCCGCAACACCAGCACAGAAAAGAACTGCGTATCTCGAGGCAGCAAAGCGCTGGGCAAAGAACGCTCGACAACACGCCAATGAGCCAAAGGGTGATGATCGGACCCCCGAATGCGATCAGGCTTGCGCTACCTCATTGTGCAACCTGGCCAGCATTGCTCGTCTGACCGGCAATGTCACTGAGGCTCGTCGTCTGTTCGAAAAAGCCATTGAGATGAGCAGGAGCCTCGAGTTTGAAGAGGGCGTGACCCAAGCCGAGGACGGCTTGCGGGCGCTGTCGACGTCGTCGTAGTGGAGTCCTGGATTCAATGTGCCACTGTTCAACCGCAAAAGAGGATCAGCGTCTTCACCAGCTCATTGATGGATGTCAGGGAACCTGCATCGCAGACGCTGCCGCCCTGGTATTCCACGGAGATACGCACCGCACCACAGTCCACTGGCACATGCACCCACCTTCAGCTAGGATAGTTGGATCCGAATCAAAATCCTGAAATATGCGATCATGGCGTATTCGTTATGCCGCGTTCAAAACCTTCCTGTCATCAAGGATCAGGTTTTCGTGGTGCTGGCGTAGGCGCGTCGGATCTCCATCTCAAGACTGTATAAGGGGAAGATTCTTGGCAACGCTATACTTTATCGCCAGCCAAAAATCCAACTTATTATTTTCGATGCGCCGTTCCTCGAACTCGGCAATTGTTAGCTTCACCGCTATGTTCCAAGGCATCAGCCAGTCTACATGTTGGGTTGCGAGTAGGGTAGGATCAGTGGCGTCTTCCGGATACAGCCCTCCAATGGTGGGAAACTCGATGGAATACAAACTAGCACACATAGGGTGCGCATGCCGACGGCTCGAGCGTCTGACCCCAGTGTCACTCACCTATGTACCAGTTGACGAAATCGGAAAAGGCAAATCATCAGACGCTTCCATTTTGTGTCTCTCGGAGTTGTTCGGTGATCGGATATTTTCAGAACGATTCGTGAAACTGATGGATGCCTCAGAAAATTCGCCATGATATTTCAGCGCTATTTCGATGTTGAAGTTCTCGTTGTGGCTTGCTTTTGCCGAGCCATTTTCGTCTAGGGCCGCACCGTCACAAGCTCTGATCGTATTTGGCTTTCAAGGTGCCTAGAGCAGCCCGCATGATGTGGATATGTGCGACATCGACAGCCTTGCCAGCCCCCCGCGGAATCACTCCCAAATATCCGCTTGCCGGTGGTTCTCTTGTCTTTCCCTTGAATGGACAGACATCTAGACTCCTCCCGAAGTGCTGGTCACATCCCCTCCAATGCAACGACTGTCTCACCCGGGCTCAACAGCGACAACTCCTTGAAAGAATTACAGTCACGTGAAGTGCCCGAAAAGATAGGTTGTCATCACTCGTTCATCATCGAGCTTGAATTACGCGATTAAAGGATACACCCCCAGCACTGCGGCAGGCTTGCTTCCAGAAAGGAACTTTTGTGGTATATGGCCAGATAAAGAGCCATAATTCACATCCAGATACTCGGCTGACCGAGTATTCTTTGACGCAGTTGGATCACGGCATGCTCATCTTTCACTTAAGGTGAAGACCAAGACTCTCAGTGGTCCTCTCGCTACAAGTCTGGCGTTTCCCGGCCCTTATCAGCGTTTGAACCTTATTGTGATCTATCATAGGGGTTGTACGTCAAGGGTCCTTCTCATCTTGAAGCCACATGTTGCCGCGCCAAACATCCGGGAGGCTGAAGCCACTCTTTCTCATCGTCAAGCATCAGGTCTCAAGTACGACAGATAGAGTTTAGGCAGTCGCTTTTCTTCCTGGTTAAGTGGTTCAACAGGACACTTAGATGTGGAGCTTCTTCAACGAACAGATCATGTACCTTGCACTGGATGTACAGACATCACCGTCTCCTCCATCAGTACGTTCCTCGCTTAACAGCCATCGTCATATCCAATCGTCACCTCGCTTACATCCACCATTGTGCGCTGTGTAACGTTTTACTTGGATTCAAAGACATAGCTCAAACACGCCACAATACTCGAGAAGCGCACTTGAGTAAGGAAGTAAGCTACTGCGATACTCACGACACTCCTTCTCAACACGCTTCAATCGGACCAACATTCAATCATACCGTACTTGGGCGGAAGAGCAAGCAACTCCATGGCTAGTCCAACCCTGTATGTCGATCTCGTTGGCTTCAGACCTGGATGTTATTGCCCTCTCTCATTTCTGAGCTTATTCCTTTCGAATGTGAGAAAGAATCCGGAGACATCCTCTCGGTAACTCAATACTCACAATGAATACTGTGCTACATACGTTCCATGGGCCACCAACGATTAATTCACCTGCAATCGCACGGCCACGACGGCCCAAGATCCGCACTTCGGCTGCCGCCGCAGAGAATGCGGATGACAGACACATGGCCGCCCACCTCTGCCGCAGTGTCATCCTTAAGTGCAAGGGTGAGATGGAAAATCAAAAGAATTGGCGAATAGAATTACAAAGAATGAGGCTGCCTGAGATGGGGTCATCGGTGGCTCTTGGGGGGCGTCCATCCCATGCTCGTGGCGTGTCCGGACCTAAATTTTCCTGTCTCGAAACCCATCGCCCACAGATATTGCATGCTGTCAGAAACGAAATGATACCCTTTAGTATCCCGCAGTGTTGTATCTAGGCCAGTTTTGGTTATCAAGCCGACTACACCTGGATCCTTTGGAGAAGCGAGAATACGAAACTGTTTGACGACTATGCAGATTTATTTCTGGAAATCCTCTGGGTCAGCAAGGGACGTGACCAGATACCCTAGACTGAACAGTGACAACCGACGGCTCGTTTTCGCCCAAACTACCATCCGGTAATACTATTGCTATGTACTACCGCATGATGCTGCACCACAATCGGGACGTACCGAAGACTCTCACTTATCATTGGATCACTTCGGGATGAGAAGACGGTACGGAATTGCCGTTTGACGCACTGGTCATATGGGATCACACGCATTCATCACGCAGAGAGGCACAGGAAACGTTACCACTTTTCCTTAGCCTGACCTTCTAGCTCTGTCTTCAACGCATCTGAAAAGCATCGCCGCTGTAGGGCTGAAGCTGTGGGGGAACTGGTGCCACGACAATATCCTAAGCAAGATTTCCTCGACCGAAGATGTCTACCGTCACCAAGACACATCTGCATCGGCCCAGACCCATGATAATTGGCTTTGTCACAGTTCTGTTCGAGTTCCAAGATCGGCTCATCATACAGACGTTGACGGTCTTCCTTTTTGAGCATGAAAGTAGCGAGAAGCCCAGCTATCTGGTGCTAGATCATGGAGGCGATGAAGCCGAGAACACCTCGGGGTCGAGGCGAGAGATCCCATCGATCCACGTGTGGAATCGGGAAATCGTACCTACAGCGAACTACAGTGAGGTCCATCATCTAAGAGCACCACCGTGCTTCACCTAGAGAAGTTACCCAATGGTTTCACACCATTTCCACAGTGTCCGTACTTGCCTCGTTAGATGCAACCTCCGCCACCTATGGTGTTCGGGCTTGGCATAAAGCCCATCGAATGGTTCACTAATCGCACCGTTTGCGCTTGCATCGTTGAAGATTCCAGTCAAGTCAAATTGGGGGTCCTTGGTTGAAGAAAGAATTCAGTTGCCTAGGGTCCCGCACCCATCCAGCGATGTGAGCGTGTGGTGGTACAGCAGAGAGAGGCTCAAGCTGGCCGTCTTCGGCAGGGCCGTACGGCAGCGGGGCACATATTGGATATGATGATGTTGAACATCCATCCAGTGTTGATATTGACCCAGGATGACCGTCGACAACCGTTAGATCTTCGAAGCTACCTCTCAAAGTCACACCTTAGCTTCCTGATAAGGGAAAGGAGACGCTTAAGACTTGTCAGACTTCGCTTATGGTACCTTGCACTTCTTGAAGTTTTGGGTTGGGCAAGCTGGCCACCCCAAGTCGGACGCCTGTACACTGCTTACTGTCAAACTCGAAGCTCTTTCTGTACCAAAAGCACATTTCCATGGCACCTGAGAGGTCTTTGTACACCAGAAGCACCTCCCCCAGTGGTGTAGATGCGAGTTCCCTACATACACCCCTGTCAACTGTCTTCGATATTGGCGTTACACGCAAAAGTTACCCACCTGCATTATGACATCCAGATGTGTACACCGAATTATCTCCATCGTGGACCAAAATGCACAGTTGAGGCTCTAAATTTGGGCTAAATTGTGGACTTCTTCCTCAGGCTCTGCTCAAAAGACAGACTTCTGGGGTGTCTGGGGACATTGTAGGATGGCTGGACCACATTGTCTTGCCTTGCCGTCACTGCTTTCAAGGGGGGGCCATCCGCATTGGGTAATAGGCTGCCCGGCGCAGCTAGGAGTCGGGAAGTACTCTTCCCTTCGGATGGGTATATAATAACGGGGCCCCTGGGAATTTCGAATGGCGAACGGGTCTTGAGATCCTCACACACCAGGCGTCAAAATCCACTCTATATTCAGCAACGCTTGATACTTGACCCTCCTTCTATTTGTTCAACAAGATCGGGAGGCGTATCTCAAGCCTTTTCCATCGTTACATAGATGTCAAAATCTTCTCAACGATACCCTGTTACGAGCCAACAGCATTGTGTAATGGAGGACTTCAACCACTTGGTCGATATGCCGACTTCTGAGAGTTCTTTTCGGTACATGTATGCGGAATCTGATCAATATCTGGACGTACACTCTTCGGGATCTCAAAGCTCAGTCAGCTCACCAGTGAGTATATACAACGCCCGTTCGTGATTTTTTGGGAGACTAACAGTAGTGTGGCAGTACGATGTGGCTTCCCTAATGGACCCTAATATATATGCCGGCACCTATCAAGGCCTGGAGTCGGAAGATGAGTCCTCGCAGCAACCGACCCAGGAGCAGAAGCCTAAAAGAAAAAGAGAAAACCGGTATAAGAATGCACCCCCGTCTGTCCTGTCGGTATGTGATGAATCTTGTGTTGTTCCCGCTCAGATCTGTATGAACAAACAATGGCTGTCAGGACGAAATTAACCTAATGCCTTTCGACAGCGTCGAAGAGCCCAAAATCGCGCTTCCCAGAGAGCTTATCGCGAACGCAAGGACCAACGGATAAAGGACCTCGAGCAGATGCTTAATGAGGCCAAACAACACAACAATGCCCTTGGCCAGGCTTACGCTGCGCTCCAGGCCGAATATGAGGTGCTCAAAGCCTCTCAATTCAAGGACATTGGCTATTCAACCGCCAACAACCTGACTTACCAGCATTCGCCGCTGCCGACAACGAGTACGGTACTGAGCAGCACTGGATTTGATTTGGACTTGTACGCGTACCATGAGTTGAGCGCCAACGGAGGGTATCATATGTTTGGGAAGACAGCCTAAGGGCATATATTACACTCACATATCCATCCCACTTTGACGGCTTGTTGGGCATCTTTCACATGACCATGGTATTGGAGCTGAACGTGATGACACGAAGCAAAGAGTAAGGAAAACCTTCGGGTAGCACCAAACGGTAGACGAAGGAACGAATCCGCGGTCGGGAGCTCCCGGTAACTCATCTGCGCACCGAACACATTGACGCCCACTGCTGCGGGGCTGGCCAAACGAGGAAATACAAGCAGAACACACATCTATGCCTCACGCGAAAGTCCGCCCATCAGTCGGTATTGGGAATACCCACCAAGAAAGATGAAGTCCAGAAGCTCGGTTGTCGCAGCGCATTCTTGCCCTTCTCGTTGGTGGGATATCATGGTCACAGACAGCAACACACCCCTTCTACCTTTCATCACGTCCGGCCTCACGAAGTATCCTCCCCGGTCGAGAATCGGGAAGACTCTCGTGTCACAGTCGCTATGATAACTGATTTCGGTATAGATCTGCTTGCAGATCGAAGTGGATGGGTGTGGTATTGCGGCACATCACGGCAAATGCTACCCACGAGCACTTATCATCTACTGACTTTGCCTCTCTGCCCTGTCCGTTGGGAGCAGCGGGGGTAGTTCGGTGCCGCCGGGTATAGCCGGTACTGCCAAGGAAGGAATGAAGTACCGGAAGAGTCCAGTGGTCAAGGTACAGACCGATCTAAAATCTCAATGCTCCAACACTACAACAACTCGCGAGCAAAAAAATCCAGCACAGCTGCGTTCAACATACACTACTGCTTGAACATCGGTAACCAAAGCGGCAATCAGGTAGCTCTCATCCATGGGTATGTTGCATGATAGCTGGCTTGGATTGGCTGACTTGTGGGAGTAATGAGTGGTCACTAGACCTACCGAATACGAACCATTCAGCCCCGACCCCGCCGTGCCTCTGGCCCCCTGATTCAGGCCCTGGCTCCAACTTTATTCTAACCCCCTCACCATCAACAGCGGCGGCAGAAGCAGTAGCAGCAGCAGCGGTAACGAGAGTGACACCGGTTCACCAGCCAGCAAAACGAAAGCAACGGGCGTAAAAGTCGCGGGCATTCCTCACATCAGCCCATTACACACACATTCACCCCCTTGCCCACAGATACAGCAACTACACACCCCATCCCTCGACAACACCGAGCCGAGTCCGTACCGAGAAAACGGATTTTTGGAAGAAGAGGGTATCGAGATTGGTGGTAGTCTCTGACTCACTGGTTCTCCCTTTCTGAACCGACTGACTGACGTCTCGCTACCGTTCCGTCCCTGTGGATAGCATGCAAAAAGACGGCACGGACTTGCTCGTTGGGTCGCCGACCTTTTTTTCTTCTTTGACACATCCCTGAGACCCATCTCCTTTTCCAAGGTACCCTCGTCTAGTACCGGAAATGATATTACATGACATGACATAAGACGATTGAAGGATTGGTTGATTGATGAAGGTTTAATGGAATAAACACGCGGGGTGGCCTTTGGGTATTCATTACATACATGGACCTGAGATCTATGTTTGGTATGGAAAGGCAAAAAGTACATGGTGGGAGGCTGGCTGGCTGTCTGTCCTTGGGTTTCTTTGCGAGGGGCCTATTTGGTTGGGCATTGATGTTCAGGGAGTTTGGGAGCGTTATAGTTTTCGTTTATATTTTTGGCTTTGGCTTATGGTTGTAGCTAGCAGTGGACACGAGATATGAGATTCGACGATGTGAATGAGCGAACCCAAGTTTTTTTTCGGTGACCTCGCTTACTGCTGGGGCTTTCTTGTGTGCTCTTGAATGGGAGTAAGAACTTACTTTCTTTGACGCAAGGTTTTCTGCTGGTTAAAATGTTGGGGACTTTTGATCATGTGAAGAGACGTTTGTTGTTTTTCCTCGATAATCGACGCGCTCAGGCTCGAGGGAAAAGTACTTGCTTGCTTACTTGCTTGCTCATGAGGAAAGCAGCTACTCGGTATGCCATGTCTTCACGAATGAATGTTAGGTAACCTTTGATAAAAGTACACTCGTACTGCCTTAGCTACAAATGTAGAAACTCTGCCATATAAGGATATTGCAAGCACCATCCACCTTGCTTGTACGCATGATGATCGATACCAATATCGTTTCATTTTCCAGTTGGAAGGGAAGAAAGGGACGTATACTATTTTTCTCGCTGATTGTTGCCAACGGGATTACTATCCTGGAACCATCAACATACCTCTATTCATCGAAATGGATCGGATTGATAGGCAGGTTCCGTTCTGTCCGAGGGACGAGCAGCCATGGATACTCTGGTTTTGATTTCACGACACGCGTGTGAATACATCTTGCGAGCTGATCTCGCCGCCTAGCGTAGACCCAAAAAAAAAAAGACTCGAGTTTCCATACTCGACCTTGAACAATCTACACTCGTAAATGTTTCTATTCCCCATTGAATTCCTATGTACTCTCATGGTCTTCTTGTTGTATCACCCTATCTCATAGGTTAATAAAACAACAACATCTCGATGTCTCTCTTTACCTGTCTCATATCTCAAACCCCCTTTTCCCATTCATCATGGTTGGGAATTTGTCAACATCAGCACCCCTGTAAATAGGTATCCTCAACAATTACCTCAAAACTGTAGCGGACAGGATTGCGGCCGACTTCTAGTATCTGAAAAAAAATCCTCGAAGACAGCAAAGCGGAGACTGACGACAGAATCCAACAGTTCTTTCCCTTCGATCGAGAATAAGCGCCAGATGAAGTCTCAAATTAGAGACGCTGGTAAAAAAAGCAATTACTTCCCAGCAATCGAACCTAGCAATGGGCTCAGCTGGAAGTTTATGCCATCATGGCCACCGTCTAGAACCACCTACACTCAGTGATTATCCATTCCCCATTCCAATATTTGCAGTATCACAATGTTTTTCTTCTTGTCAAGATTAGAAGCTGAAACCCGTAAGCGACAACATGTCACGAAGTTCATTTGGCCAGCTCTCACTCCCCTTGTCAAAGAGCGCGTGTCTAACAAACTCCCCATTCTTTCGCAACTTGACCAACGTCATCAGGCGAGGGTCTTGAGCAATCAACAATGGCGGCTGACAATAATTGTCGCGGTTAAACCGCTGGTGCCTCAACTCGTCGTCCGATATCTTCGTCTGCTCGTCAGCCCAAACCGGCTGGCTATGATGCCTTGAGCTTGACGAAGACGTCGGGTTCGTCTAGAAGTAAGTGAATAGCATGTCAGCATCTCTGGTGAAGACCCTGTCTGCAATGAGATCGAGACCAGAGGAACATACACTTGTACGAGCCGGCGGCCCCTTACACCCCGGAAAATTGCTCCTCTTCTCGCTCTATCTCCAGCATAATCTCCAACAACGACTCAACATCGCCCTGAACTTTTAGCAGTCTCTTGTCTCTGATTTTATTATTCACCAAGACGCGGCCGTACTGCGCCAAGATAGCGAGGTAAACCTCTTCTTTGATAAGCAGTCTGTTCAAGTCCTCGGCAATGGTATTGTATAGAGCGCATGCTACGTCGATGTAGGCTGAGTTCCTTCTAAAAAATTGCAGGAGAAAGTGGTCTGCTACCTGGCTGACCTGGTTCATGTTGTCGAACGTCCTGATGCTCCTGGGCAGGAGCTTGGTGAGGCGAAGGAGGGCGTCAGTGCTGTAGGGAATGTCGGTGGCATGGTCTTTTGAGATCAGTGTCAGCTTGCTTTCACCTTGTGTGTATTGGCGTGTTGAGGGGTGACACTTTGTGGTTTGACGGAGAGAAATACCTGCGATGATGACGGAGAGTGTCCTGCGAGCGGAGTCTAAAGCGACGACGCCGGTAGACGGCGGCTCCGGGGCAGTTGAGGCCATGGTGATGAAGGTGTGATGTGTAACTGGCGAAACTCTGGTGGCTCACGGAGAACGCTGGTGATGAAGTTCGTGATGGAGTCTTGGGTTTGGATTTTGTTTAGGACGTAAAGCAAAGACCCGAAACGAAGATCAAGCATGGGGTGAAGGGAAGAGATTCGCGAACTGGAAAACCTCAAGGGAAAGAGACAGGCGAAAATACCGGTAAAGCAAAGCATCAGGGTTCTGCCATAAACCGCCATGTTTATCAGTCGGGCGGAGATAGAAGATGAGATGGAAAAACGAATTGGTTAAGGAGATGGGAACCGGCATGAACTAGTTTATCTTGGATACAAGAACGAACAAGTTTTATCGGTATACCGACGAGGGGAAGAAGTGTAACCACAACAAAACCACACTTAAACCTAGACTGAGAGGGAGTCAAAGTTGTCGTTAGGAGTCATCATGGTTCTGACACATGTGCAAGTATGTAGGAAATGAAAGAAGATTTCGCGTATGTTGGGGTGAAAGCTGTCTGCAGTGTCCAGCACGAGATTTCGGTCCTTCGGAGCAAACCTGGGCCGTGAAGCGTATACTCTCCTCTGCGCCTTCCATTCCGTGAAATTCCACCCAACGCATCTCGTTCCTTCTCAAGAGTACCATTCCTTCATGGCTGGAAATTCTCAATGCAAGATCCTTCCGCCCGCAAAAAAAAAAAAAAAAAAAAAAAAAAAAAAAAAAAAAAAAAAGAGTTTCGTGTTTCAGTCCTTTTGTACAATCGAGAAATGCATCCCACTTCCCGACGGCAAGGAAACTCGACTTGGGCAATCCCGTGTCCCAATGTCGTCCAAAACATTTCTCTCACTCGGCGCAAAAACAACACCGCAGAAGGAGAGCCAGGGCAAGGATCGTGAAGCTGAGGGCCGTTGGTGGCAGAGGAGATGCGTTGACCCCGCGCGTCCTCAATTGGACAGACGGAAAGGAAACACTTCAGCCGCGCCTCAGTTAGTGCATACACTCCCCGGTTAAACTATCGCCAACCCGATGTGACCTCCATTCAGCTTACCTTTTGACTCAGCTCAATCGCGACAACATTGATATCACAGCTTCTCCTAGCCTGGCGCGTCCGCCGGCGCGACCATGCCATCGAGACTTCGCGCGCGTTGATCTCCTTTGCCTTTCGCCAAGGCAAGCGTCAGCTGTTTAACTTCTGTCTTTACGTTCAAAACAAGCCTGATTGGGCTGCCATCATTCACTCAACCGACACTCTTTGCCCTCGGCCTACTTCAAGATGGCAGCGCTTCCGGAGAACTGGGAGATGGACTATGATGGAGCCATTAGTCGCTGGATATATCGATTCAAGCCCACAGGGCTTGTTCAATACACCTTTCCCAAGCCAGGCGATGAGTTCCCCGAGTTCGTTGGCGATTTTGGCGGGCCTATGCCACCCGAGGACAAATTTATGAGCCAAAAACTCAAGAAGGGGCGTGCTACAAGCGAGTCACTGCTTAGTTCTCCTACATCCAACATCAGCACAAATGCGGATTCAATAAACTTCTCCAGGCCCAGTTACAATGATCCACCGCCATGGTTCCAGCCAGACGGGTTTATGTTCATGGGTCCTGGAGCGTACAATGACACCAGTCCGGAGCAAGATGAAGATGAGACCCCGTTACCGGCGACTGACCCCAAAATACCAGAAGCAAAGGTGACTAAGCCGTCAACTAGACCGTTCATCTCTCCTGTAACGAGTACAGAAACCACTTCTCTGGTTGTCACTAGCCAACCTACCGCTGGGACGACCTATGAACAGACTATGCCAGCGAAAGTTGACTCTACGTTGTCCCCGGGGGTTCCTATGTTGGATGGTCGTCCGATAAACCCAATTTTTCCTATCGGTTTTGTGGCAGAGTTATACGGCGAGTCGACCGCGATGACTCGCAAAGAACATCCTGCCGCAGCGGAGCTACCAGGTCATGAGGCGCCCATCCGGAATCTACAGTTGGCGAATGCGGATCAAATTGCGCCTGTCGAGTTATCCTCCGAAAACGCTAGCGTGAAGGCCACTTCTGGCGAACAATCGCAGAAAGACCCCAACTCTCAAAAGACAGATCCAGGATCAAGACCGAATCTCGATCGGAGGACGGAGTCAAGTCCCTTCATTTTGGGCGCCAATTTTGCCTCCCCTCCCTCGAATATTGCGCCTGCACACGCACACAGATATTCCATACAAGGACAAGTGCCGTCTCGGGTTGAGGTGCCAGCTGTGTCGACAGCTAAAGCGACACCGGGACAGATAGTTGTACATGAACAACCAGACAAAGCAAAGTTCAGAATAGAGTTTGAGACTGACTCAAAAGCCAAGAAAGAGGCGGATAAGTTTGTGACCCAACAGGTACCGTCCATTCTCCAGCCCGCCCGCGGACGCCCAAAGCCTTTACAGAGTCCTTCTGGTGGCCAGCAAGCCTCTTCAACTACAAAAATCTTTGTTCAAAGACCGCTGTACGACCACCCGGAGTTAGACCATCAGACAGTGAAGCCCCTACATGGCCATCAATCTATGATTCTGATCCACAAAAAGGATGAACTGGATCCCCCGCCTGCATTTACGAGGACAAATACTCTGCCTGCAGACTTGCCTTCACTGCCTTTTATGGGGAACGGATTTTCTACAAAGACTGAGATGTCTTCGCCAACCCCACAGCCACAGGACCAGCAACCTCCACTACAACCAGCTCCAAGCGAGGAGGAACCGCAGATGGGGTTCAATTTGGCTTCGACAAGTAGACCGCATAGGGGAAGCTTAAGTGACTATGCGAACCCAGTTCTTCCTGGTATCGGGCAGTCAGCAAAGCCGCTGAACATCAGCCAAGCCTCTTCCCAGACTGAAGTTCAAGGAGTGGATCAGCCGTCTCTGGCAGCGAAAAATTGTGAAGAACAAACGGCTCCAATGTTGGCGCAGGAATTGTCACAAGCAATTGCTGACTTCTCCCTTTCTCGTCAATATGAACCAAAACGTACCACAGAGATGGGGATGTCTGATCACGGTGGCGTAACAGTACAGTGGTGTCAGGAGAGGATGCATCTACGCCATATGCCAAGCGAACAATCCACCGAAGCTTTACCTGCCACTGTTATCTGGGATTATCCTGTTCCTGAAAATGATTTGCATAAATCACCGCACTCTCATTCTGGCTCGGGGCCTCCGCGACCTGACAAGATCCCCATCGGCAATCTTCAGCCCGCATTCACTCCTTACCGCCCTCCGGCGGTGGAACAGACCTTCCGCCGAAAACCTGTGGCCGAGTCTCAGGGGCCCGCGAGAATACCAATTTCGAAAATGGGGACTGGGCAACAAGGCGGTCCCTTTACTCCATTGGGTCACTTTCAACAACAAGGAACCCCAGAACCTTACGTATTGCCCCATTCCTACAACCAACAGCTCCCATCGTGTAGTGGTAGAGTCCTGCCACAACCAAGCCTAAGTAATTCGGGCCTTCCGCAAACCTTTCCTCCACCACGACAAATTCCCAGCCCAAAGTCGCAAGCACGGGCATCCACATGGCCGGAACAAGAATCAACAGCTCCCTTTACAGGTCAAATGATTGATTTGACGTCAAAAGCGCTTCCTCCTGTATCTCCAACCATGCACCAGGCTCGTGGATTATCTAGTGAAACTTCAATACCTTTTGTGAAGGAGAAGCGAGGATTACTTTCAAAGTTTAGGAGAACTGGCAATACGGCCAGCTCCTCGAACAAGCTTCAAAAGTCAGTCGGAAATAGCTATCCCACAGCGAGCAATAACATTTCGCAGTCACAACCTCCTGTGTCTTCTCCACCACGGCAAGTACGTGTACCACCACAGAATACTCAGGTACCATTTCAGGGCCCTCCTCCATCGCACCCTGATCAAACACAAGTGCAAGGATATCCATGGCTCACAAATCCACTTGACGCGTGGTCAGCGTCTGGCCATGACCCCCGTGCTTTCACCCCGACAGTCCAACTCGGAGGTCCTCATTACGAGCCTGAGTCTACTTACTACCAGCAGCAATGGCATCATAATCATCAGGTGCAACAGCAACAACAACAACAACAGCAGGTGAACGACAGAAGGGAGAGCGAAGTGTCCAATCTAACCGACACTTCGTCACCTTCACCAGTCCCCAGCAACGCGGACACGGCATCCGTCGCAGACAGTTCCAGAGTCTCGATCATCAGCAATCACCACACTCGCCCCGGAAGCGAGGGCGCTGCCAGTCTCGCCAGTATCGGCACCATTGGCAGAAATAGCGAAATCACTCCGCCGCCAAGCTTCAGCCGTCGTAACGGGCCTGGCTCGGGTAGGTGGGGAAGCGTATCTGGAGCTGGTGGCGGTGGTGGTGGTAAATATGATGGCTCCGGGTGGGGTGACTTTGGAGTATAATGAAAAATCTTCGGTCAGTCCTTTGGGAATGGAATTGATAATGGCGACCAGCTTCTTTTCCTATCACGACGCAGCAGTTGAGACAGACAAGCCAAGCATGGCGTTGGACATGTGTTCCTGCATACTTCCCGTCCAGCAACAACTACATACACTAACATCTGACAACTGACATCGGCACGTCCCTCCATCCCGTCTACCGTCCCGTTCTATACCGTCAATCGGCTCCCGTCCGCTAGGCCCAAAAGTTTCCGAGGCAATTCAGACATCAGGGGTCCAGGCATGTGCCAGGGTTGGGATAAAGATACCTATCTCGGGAACTGGGCTGCCGGGGGGCGGAGGATCGGCAAGGAACAGTGGAACCTCAGTGGGTTTGTAGGGGCCTCTTATGGGGCCAAATGGGTGCCTTACAGGGACCGCACGCAGAATGGTGCTGTCGAGTGACGTCATAGCACATTCTGTTGGACTTGTCTCGCCAACCACGGACGACCGATCAACGAGTGAATGCCACTTACGAATCGATAATTCGAAAAATAGAGTGAAGGCTTGGGATTAGGAAGGGGATGACGGATGCCGGTGGCTTTCGTTGTTTTGATTAAAGACTTAGTCAGGGTTCTTGGCTTCATTTTAAGATGCAGGAGATATTGGAATGGGAAACAGGAACGGTGGAGGTTCACCAGCATCAGGGCATCTTCTTCACATGGAAGTTGCTCCTTCACTTCATTCCAAAACTGAATGGATGAGGATACCGCCGACATGTCGCTTCCTTGTCATCACAATGGACACAAACAACACGCATCTCACCGCCGAAAAAGGGAAAAAAGCAACCACCGATCATCTCCCCCTCCACCCCCGCCCTACCGGCTTACTAACAAGGGAAGACGGCCGGACTCTTGTGAAAGGCCGTCAAGTCAAGCCGTCCGGGCCCCCGCTGCTATCTGATTGTTTCGTCTGCAGCTCTCCACGGTAGCCACGGGCGGCCATCCATGCCGTCCCTCCCGTTCAACCTGTCTCAACCGGCAACGCGAAACACGTCTCCCACACTTTACTTTCTTATCGCTCCTCGCTGACTTGTTGTTGCCCGCGCTTGGCCGGTGGGTCGCGCCTTTGTGCCAACCCGCCGATCTATCTCCACTCCCCCGGGATTCCGAACGCTTTCGTCAACACCCAAGCAAGTCAACCTCCTCATCTCGGTCATGGATTCACGGGTCCCCGGTCCCGATCCCAAGGCCCAGTGGCCCCCCCCCTACCTACGCAACGCCAACCCCCCACACGTGTCAAGGTGGCACACGAAATGGATTTTCAAAGGGTTCTTGGATCTTGACAGTGGCGTCTTGGATCTCCGGTTTCCCATCTTACACGGATGCCCTTTTTGAGAGTTCAGGGTCCGCCAATTTCTTTTTAATTTTTTTTGCGGCTTTCCTGTCACGGGTAGCCCCCCTTTCTTCCTCCCGTCTGTTTGATATCTACGCCCGGGCCCCGTGCCCCTTCAATGTTTGACAATGCCCCCGTCTGAAGACTGTCCATCGCCCTCCCGTAGGATGTCGCAAGCGAATCCTCCACCGACCTTGCACGTCCGGGTGCCGTCCCAAGCTGCAAATCCAATGGACAGCGATGGAGATTATTATAAAAGCCCCAACGGCATCGACCACTCCCATCTTGCCGTTCCCGATTCTGGCGCCCTCAGCCCTGCCTCTTCTGGCCATGGCGACAGGGAGGCAGCCAACAGGCTAAACGACGATCTCGAGCTGATGCGTGCTGAGCGCATGGTGTCCAGGCAAGCACGGGAAGACGAATCGAGACGGTCCAGATCCAGGAACAGGAGCACTGAGAACCTTGAGGACGTCTTTGATACAGTTGCCGGTGCCGGTGCAACGCCTACCCCTGCCGTTACTACGGTAGCAAAAACGACATGGCTTACCCGGACGTGGGCTCGACTGAGAAAATTCCCACGAGTGCTGCGCTACGTCGTCTACTCGATCCCTCCAGCCATTCTTATCCTCATCCCCATCTTCCTGGATATTTTCGCATACAACAGGCACCAGGATGTCGGTGAAGACCGAGGAGTCAGGCTCCTCTGGTTCGGCATCTGGTTGGAAGTTGTTTGGCTCAGTCTATGGGGAACAAGAGTCATCACCTGTGCCATGCCCTATGTGGTAGCATGGATCGCCGACACGTTGGGGTCCAGCAACCATAAGAAGTGGAGGGACATCGGACGTCAGCTCGAGTTCCCTACCGCGTGTTTTATCTGGTTGCTCGTTGTTGTGGTGACCTACAATCCGATCCTCAAGGACCACCGAATCGATCAGGGCGAAGATGCCCGTGACAAGGATTCTGCCTGGATCTCCATCGTTTACAAGATCATTCTCGCCTTCTTCATCCTCGCGACATTGAATTTTGCCGAGAAGATCTTGATCCAGTGGATTGCCTCCTCGTTTCACCGCCGGACTTATTCCCTTCGCATCCAGGAAAATGTCATGCAGGTCGAGTGTCTCGTCGCTCTGTACACATACGCCAAAACTTGTCTCGAGGCGCAGGATCCGGTCTGGAACCAAACCTCGGTTGAAGGCGATTCGTCCGGGATGCGTACCCCGATGAGAGCCATGAAGACGAATGCGCGGCAAGCTTGGAACAAGGTTGGAAACGCCGCCAACCGGTTTGCGGGCGACATCACAGGCAGGCGCATTCTGAAAGGAAACCATCCCCGCAAGGTCGTCATGGAGCTGCTTCGTTCGACCAACTCGAGTTATACCCTGGCACGCGTCTTCTACCGTACTTTTGTCCGGCCTGGCAGAGACACCATTACACTGGAAGACATCCTGCCCGCTTTTCCCAATCAGGAGGAAGCCGAGGCCTGCTTTGCTATATTCGACAAGGACTTCAATGGCGATATCTCCATGGAAGAATTGGAGATGGTCTGCAGCGAGATCCACCTGGAGAAGAAGGCCATTGCTGCGTCGTTGAAGGATCTTGATTCGGTTATCAAGAAACTTGACAAGGTCTTTATGTTCATCATTATCGTGATTGTCATCATCGTTTTTATCAGCATTATCTCCAACTCGGCTGCTGCTGCGCTGACCTCAACGGGCACCGTTATTCTGGGTCTGTCTTGGTTGCTACAGGCAACAGCACAGGAATTCCTCCAGGTATGCTTGTACCAAGACAGCGAATCCGGTGCCATCACGCTAACAGTGAACAGTCCATCCTCTTCGTCTTTGTCAAGCACCCCTTTGACGTCGGTGACCGTGTCACCATCTACGGTAACACCGGCTCCCTGATGCGCGGTGACGACTACTACGTCCTCGAAGTTTCACTCCTTTACACCGAATTCAAGAAAATGGAAGGCCACGTCGTGCAAGCGCCCAACTCGATCCTCAACACGCTGTTCATCCTCAATCAGCGCCGCAGTCAAGGTCTGGCCGACCCCGTCAACCTCACCCTCCGCTTCGGTACCACGGAAGCGCAGATCGAGGAGCTGAAAGACCGCATGCTCGACTTCTGCATCAAGAACCAGCGCGATTACGCTCCGCGCATCATCTCGGAAGTGAGGACCATCGATGAGGTCTACTCCATCAACATGAACATCATCTTCTTCCACAAGAGCAACTTCCAAAACGAGCTGTTGAGGCTTACGAGGCACAACAAGTTCGCCGTCGAGCTGATGCACCAGATGGACGACATGGGCATCCAGGGCCCGCGCCTCATGGCGCCTGGTGGAAGGCAGAATATGCCTATGTATTGGTCTCAAGTTCCCGGTGGCGATTCTCAGCCTGGCCAACCCGGTCAAAACGGACCGCAACAATTCCAACAACCACCACTACACCAATTCTCCCCACCACCTCCCTCCTCTTCTCCCTCTGATTTCCTGCGCAGGCGTCACCGCGCTGACAGCCGCGCAACGGTTGTCGAATCAGGCGTCGACTTCCAAGACGTGTACATGAATCGACGACCTGAACCGCTAGGGACGCATGGCATCCATCGTTTGGCGTCGATCAGGCAGCGTGACGAGGAGGAAGATGAGGATGATCACGATGAGAAAGCGAGTCACCGCCACAACGACATGGCATCGGAACTAGATCAGAGGCTGGACAAGACGTCTAGTAGGGGCACTAGGGGAGATGATATTAGCGCCGCTGGCAGACCTAGTCGCGATGGAAGCATGACTGCGTCTGTGAGGAGGGGGAGAGTGACAATGGGAAGTATGTTCGGACGGGGGAGGTCAAGAAGTGTGGTGGCGAATAGTCAGCCGCCGGGAGGGAATCAGGTTTGATGAGTGATGATCGATGAGACGAATGCCATGACGATGACACCACGGTTTACTAGAACCGAACCGTCTATGAATATGGGACAGGGCTGTTGATGGGAAATAATGAATCAGGATTTGGGTAAGGATGATGTCTTGTGGTTATCTGTCGGATATGAATGACTACCTGCTATCATCAACAACGACATTAGAGTCTAGAGTTAGACAGATGCGAGCGAGAGGGCCAAGAGGAGATGTATGACAGATCCCGGGTGTTTTATACCTTTTTTTCTTGCTTTTTGCCAATTTGGCCAGTTCTAGATACACCATTTTAAGTCATGTTGAAACAATCTGGAAAAGATCGAGACCGTCACAACCATCCTTTTCTACATGCTCGAAGTGAACTAAGGGAGGTAACAAAAACAACTTGAGGTTACCAATATACAAGTAGGGCTGGGGGAAAACCCCCCGAAAAGTTACCCTCAACCTGAGTCAAATGACTTGCGGTTGAGAACTCAAGGTGGGGGTCGCTTAGCCGTGGGGGGCGCTAAGCCTATACGGGCATCTCCGAATTTTTACCTGACTGAACATTGGATGAACCGTTGTAGCATAGTCGCTCACCTTGGTCACTCACCCGTTCGGTGAACACACTCACCTTATTCGCGTTGCTCACCTGTTCAACCACAGTTACGACTCGCAACTTCGGAACAAAATACAACAATCCGTTCCCTCACCACCAGCCAGATACTGGCTCGCCGTGTTCGCCTCCTTTTTCTAACGCACTCGTTCGTCACAACGAAGCTCTCGTTTCTCAACCAGCGATTATCGCTCTGAAATTCCCAACATGTCATTCCGCCCACGCCCACAACTCTTCAACCTCGGAGTCGTCGGCCGTTCGCGTCTCGGGGCCCCTCGAGGTCAGACAAACGAGCTCGTCTTCTCACAGCTCTTCATCCCAACTAAATCAACAACAAGGGCATCCACAAGAAATTCACGCTTCTCAACCTCAACAACCTCAACGCCTCTATCTAACCATCACCGTCCTCGCTCTCACCAATATCACAATCACTACCGACAACAGCAACAAACCCGCCACAACAGCACCAACCCCAAGAACTCCAAAGACTCCACCACCACCACCGCCACCAACCCGAGCATCACCCGCCTCCTCTCCCGCCTCCCCCGCTTTCTCCACCCTTACCTCTCCTCCCTCCGCTCCTCCCCTTCTTCTTTTGTGGTGGCCTTTCTGATCCTTCACGAAATTACGGCTATCGTCCCTGGTCTCGGGCTCTTTTACCTTTTTCACTATTGCGGTGGTGATGAAGACGACGAGGAAGAAGGCGACAAGGACAAGGATAAGGAGGGGGGTAAGGAGGGGTCATATGGTAAGAAGTTCGAAGAGTGGGTGATGGGGTGGATGATGGAGCTGGGATATTCGGAGGTGATGGTGAGGAAGATGGAGGGGTTTGAGCGGTGGTTTAAGAGGAAGGGGTATTTTGGGTTTGGTGAGAAGGGGGACGGGAAGGAAGGGGAGGGGGAGGAGGGGGGGAAGAAGAATGGGGAGAAGAAGGGGGAGGGTGAGGGAGAAGGACAAAAAGAACAGATTTTGATGATGAAAAAGTGGCAGAGTGGTGGAGATGAAAAGTATAGAGTTTTGGTGGACGCTGCGCTGGCGTATGCGATTACCAAGGCGTTGTTGCCGGTGAGGATTATTGCGAGCGTGCAGGCTACGCCGTGGTTTGCGGGCGTGTTGGGGAGGGTGAGGAAGGTTTTTGGTGGCGGGTTGAGGAAGTAAAATTAAACAGTACCTGAGATGATGGAGGGTGGTTGAGGGACATGAGATGGTTTCTAGCCTCGGTGGGGGAGGGCGATAAGACAGCAACCCAAAAGCTGGCGGGCAAGAACCGTTTCATGAAGAGAACTCCTCGATCGATACAACCAATTTCAGGTTTCACAACTACACCTGCTACTCATTAACATTAAGTTGCCTATATCCTCCTCATTCTACTACTATTGATCCATACGAGCAAGAAGAATCTCACTCCCGCCTTCTCTAACAGATCCATTCATCATCTCCAATTACCCGTGTCTATCAAAATAAACCTTCAAGCCTCTCACTCCTAAGCCTCAACAACCCTGCTACAAACCACACTCTTCTTCTCTCCTTCCCCATCCGTCTTGCATCTCGCCAAAGTCCCTCCCTGTCCAGCATCATAAATCTCCAACATCTTCAACTTGTCCTTCGCCAACACATCCTCCCCCGTGAAATTCCCTCCCAACCACGTCGCAAACCCCATCTCACTAAACCTCACATCCGTGAAATTGCCCAACGCACTCGGCAGCTCCGGCCTCTCCTGCAGCGGAAAATCTTCAAGTATCCAGCTTGCCTGCGCCGAGCACAAAGGCGGCATATCCTTCCAGATCAAACTACCCGTGGCAATCGGTATCTTGACTTTCCCATCCACCCCCTTGGGGCTCTGCGGCGGTCCGTAATTCTCCACCAACACCCCGCCGCCCGAGTTCCCGTGCGGTCCCGTGGTAACAGTAAACCGCAGCTCGTCGCCCGGAGAAGCCTTGAAATCCAAAAACCCACGTGCATGTTCGGCGGGATACCACTGCGCCCAGACATACGGAGTCTGTTGACCGCCTAGGGTGCCATCCCAGAAGATGTCGACTCCCGCACGCAGAGAGGCAGCCAGGGGGTTACAGGTCGCGTTGGCGATGGGATGGGTGAAGCTATCTGTGGCCGAAGCTCCGTCGATGCCAACCCAGAGCGAAGCAGAGTATTCCCCGACTGAGTTACCGGCTGTCGGGCCCGAGACGGGCATGGAGATGGTGGGGATAATGAGGGAGCCCGTGACGGATTGGATCATATCTTGGTTTTGGTACGGGTGGTCGGGCGTAGCTGCCGGCGGGTGGTAGGGCAGGTAGGAGCCTGCACGGAGGAATGAAGGTCTGTTGTTGATGGTGGAGGCGGCCTTGATGCGGCCTCTGGCGTTGCCGACCACGTTGGTGGGTGGGCTGTGGAGGAGCCGGTGGTTGGGGGTGGTGTTGGAGGCCTCTGTTGAGATGGTGTCCCGCCGGAACTTGAAGGGAAGGGTGAAAGCCGAGGTTGAGGCGGCTGTGGCCGTTAGGGTGAGAAGAATTGATGGTTTCATGGTCGGTTGTTGCGTCGTAGTGTTGTGAGGATGGTTGTTGGAGTGGATCAGTGGTGTTGAGTTGAGGTTGGAGATTGAGTTGAGGTTGGAGATTGAGTGACTGAGTGGGTGACAACAAAAGGGAAGAAAGCCTCTGGTTAAGTCGACTTCCAGGCCTTATGTAAGTGAAACTTGAACCAGGGGCAGTCGAGTGTAGCTCCCTTGATATATCAACCGGGCTGATAGGAAGTCGATAATTGCTCTTTCCTCGACGTCGCTATAAAGAAGGAACCCTGAAATGCTCGTAATCGACAATTCCAAGGAAGTAGGGAGTAGCAATGGAAGTAAATAGAATGATGAAGCAAAAAAGTTATTCTCAAACTCTTGCCATAACATTCGTACGGCACATGGGGAAGGAAGGAAGAAAGAAATTTGTAACAAACAGAGGAAGGTTACGAGGTTTTGAAAGGTGCAAGCAACGTCTGAGGATTATATGTACATAACATCCAGCAGGCTGCTCACACAGCCTCATGATCCAATAAAGCCGTGCACTGGTGAACAATGATGGAAGACCCTGCAAGGAAAGGGACAACAATCGGAAATACGGCCGCCCACCCCACGGGGAGATTTAACTCCCTTGTTGCTGTTGTTACCCCATCCATTCATCCATCCATCCATCCGTCCCCAGTTTGATATTCTGCCAACGGAGTAAAGCTGTACTGTGCGCCACGAGCCCGTCACCTCTCCTCTGTGGTCGTATATACATACCTTGCCGTCTTGATGGTCCTACCTACCATAGTACTCCGAATCCCCCGTCCCAGAGAAGAGAAGAGAGAAAAGCAAACAAAGTGCGCGAATCACACCCGTTGTCATTTCCACCACCACACTTCGTACGACTAGGGGGCGGGCAGCGGTGTTTGGCACATTGTATCACGGTACTACATACACCTCTGCTGTCCAAAGTCAGATTTTACCCGTTGCCCGGCGCCGGTTTGGATAGGAAGAAGGGCCTTTTTGGATTGTGATACACTGTGAAACATGAAACATAACGCACACACAGAGAGAGAGAGAGAGAGAGAGAGAACTTTTGAGCCTGAATGGCTTGCCTGGCTGGGAGGTTTGGGAGCCATAGAAAGTGCTGAGGAAGAATTAAAATGCCCACCAGTAGTTGGTTGTTCATGGAACGGTAGAAATGGTGATCATCAAAGAGGCTCGGTAATGAAATGCAGGGGCAAGGCACCAGAGGCAACAGAGAGAGGCACAGAGGGTAGGATTCCACCACCACCACCACCACCACCACCACCATCTAAATCTCACGCCACCGATCTGCATCGCTCAACGGACCAGTAAAGTGTCCAAACCATCTTCTCGAAAGGACGCCTAGGCGAGCAACCTTCGAGGTTACCATTCATTGGGCGATACCAAGTTCTGCCACATTTACCAGTGACGGCCCCCAACATTCAGCGTGGCGCTGCGGCATCTGTCCTGTCTGTCATTTCACAGGAACACAGCTTGACAGCGCACTACCATTGAGACCACCAAAGAAGGCGGCCGACATGCACCGAAGCATTTCGTATTCAAGATCCAGGGCCTGCGAGCACCCGATTCGTTGAGGCGTGACCCTACCTTGAATGGAGAGCCCCATTTACGGAACTGAACTGTGCGTGTGTAACGGGATTCAGCATGATCGGAAAGGTTGTTTGGAAGCCAACAGGCACAGTCACGCTGCTTGGTTAACGAAGACCTAAAAATAAACAAGAGCACTAGAAAACCGCAAGCATAGCCATGCTCATGGCCCGGAAGTACGAGCTGACTTCTTTCTCAATGTGCAGATATATTTTTGTATGTGTGAAAACCTGGCTTTGAAAATAAACTGGGCATTCAGACCGATACGGAACACAACGTCCAGCGAGCGGTGTAGTGTACATGAGACACGCGCAACGCCTCAGTCATTGAAAGCCTCCTCCTCTTTTTCCCTCCCCATGCCTCCTCCTGAGACCAGCTGTTTGGGCCCCTCCCCATCTAGGCGAAAGAAACCTTCCAATCGGCTCCAATCCTCGCGCCAACCTTTTTGACGACTGCAAATGCGGCTCGGCCCTTTCCGGCGGGGGTGTACTCGAGCGTAGCAGTCCAGGTCTCGCCCTCCGACTCCACAGTGACCTCCTGCTTATCCCAAGACGCAGGGGCGCCGACGATGATAATCCTGTCAACGGTAACCTGGTGCATCTTCTTCATCCAGTCGCCCTCCTTGACCTTCTTGCGGTCCTCGCCGTCAACGGAGGAGATGGTCTTGGCATCACCGTCAAGGATGAACTTGCGGTAGATGTACTGGCCCTTCTCGAACTCGTAGGAGTCACCGTCATCGACATAGAGATCACCCTCGGCGGTCTTTCCGTCCTTGCCGACGGTCACGACAAGGGTGTAGTCATCCCACTTCATAAGAGTGCTGGACCGACGGGGCCGATCACGGCGGGCGAAGATGCGGCCACCCTGCATGAGGAGAGGGATCTTGCTGAGGGGTGCGTCAAGAGTTACCGTCTTACCCTTGCTAGAGGGGATGATGTCGTAAGTGAAGTAGTCGTAGTAGACCTCGTTATCAGGAATCCAGATGTCCACTGTCTCCTTGTCCTTCTGGGTAACAGGCTTGGCAAGTAAACCAGTGTTGCCAACAAAAAATTGATCGTCGATAGCAAAGCCAGCCTCCTCGTTGGGATGAGTGTAGAACATGGGCTTAATAACGGGCTCGTTGGTAAGGTAGGCCTGGCGGAAAGCGGTATACCAAGATGGGAGAAGGCTGTAGCGAAGGCGGAGAGCCGCAGCGATGATGGTGGTGTACGGTTCACCGGCAAGATAAGGCTCGCGGCGGCGGGAGTCAATGTGGGCATGGGCACGGAAGAAGGGGTAGAAGGCACCGGCCTGATACCAGCGCGTCAACAGCTCCTTCTCGGGGTTCCCGAAGAAACCACCAACATCGGCGCCAGAAAAGGGGAAACCGGCAATGTTCTGGCTCAGAACCATGGGAATAGAGCCTTCCAGGTGGTCCCATGCGGCCTGGTTGTCACCGGTCCACATAGCACCAAGGCGTTGAGACCCAGCAAAGAAGGAGCGGGTGAGCACGAAGGGACGACGGAATTCGCCCGCCTCGCGGGACTTGAGGGCTTCGAAAGTAGCGTTGTGGAAGGTTAACCCGTTCAAGTTGTGGATGTCACGATGCTCCCAGTTACCATAGTGGAGGTTGTCCTTGGGCATCGTAGTCTCGGGGCCGTTGAACACCGAGGGCTCGTTCATGTCGTTCCAAATCCAGGTGTTCCTCATGGAACCCTCAAACCTGGCGTACTTGAAAAGAGTGGCCCACCACTTCCGGGCAGCGGCATTGAAGGCGTCGACCCAGTGGGACGAGCCGGGCCAGCACCAACCCTCAAAGATTTCGCCATCCTTGTTGTTGACAGCAAACTTCTGAGACTTGAGCTCCTCAGAAACCTTGTAGCCGTCGACGTTCTTGATGTGGGGATCGATAATGGCAACCAGCTGACGTCCATGGCTTTCAAGCTGCTTGCCCATGCCAATGGGGTCAGCGAAGCTATGGCCATCCCAAGTGAAATACTTCTTGTCATCGGTATACTCGATATCAAGCCAAATGACATCGTAGGGAATATTAAACTTGTCCATCTTGCGATCGACATCCTTGACATCTTCGTCAGACACATAGTTCCAGCGGCACTGATGGTAGCCGAGCGAGAACTCTTGAGGCATGGCGGTAGTGCCGGTGAGCTCAGAGTACTTGCGGATAAGGTCCTGAGGAGTAGGACCCAAGAAGATAAACACATCCAAGAGGCCGGCCTCGGAGATCCAGTGAGTGCTGGTGCTCGTCTTAGAACCAATACCCAAGGCCAGGGGGTTCTTGGACTCCTTTTCCTTGGTGATATCAACCCAAGTCTCGGCAGCGTTAAGCCAGAAGATACCGACACTCGAATCCTTGCGATGGGCCTGCAGGAACGGGATGGATCCGTACAGGGTCATGGGGCTATCGAGGATGTACTCGAACACATCGGCGTTGTACATGCGGTACGGCTCTTGGAAATTGCCTTCGCCGCCACGAGTCTGCCTGAGAGACAAGGGGCCGGTATGCGAAGGAATACCGTAAATGTGATCATAACCAATGAAGGAGATATCCAGGGCAACACTCTCGGGACCACGGGGCTTGGAGTCGGTGTTTCCACCAAAGCTCTCCTCCCACCACGTGTTTTGGTCCTCACCAGGGTAGGCCTCAGGAACCTGGGCAGCGGTAGTCTCGACGCTCTCGGTTTCGCTGCTGCTGCTGTCCTCGCCCTCCTGGTTCTCAGGCGCAGGGGACGCCTCAATCCTGGGCCTCCAATGCTCCATGTTCAGTAAGCCCTTGTCATTCAACTTGATGTGCGTGTCTCCATCGCGCTTGAAGTCGATAGAGAAGGGGGCGAACTTGATGGTGGCCTCGAACTTGGACTCGGGGCCGTACTGAACGGTGATCTGGGTGTTATCTTGGTAGTCCACCTTGGCCTCCTTGTCGAGGGTCAAGCCGCCGACGATGACCCATTGCTCGGCCTCATTGTAGCGTTGCTTTCTGGCCTTGCTGTCACCGCGAAGCTCGATCTCGCCCTTTTGTCGCTTCTCTTCGTCGACAGTGACACGCGCGGTTCCGGACTCGAGGAAGGAAACGGTGATGGGAAGGCGGACGGTCTCGCCGGCATCGTTGACCGTCTTGAGGATGGTGGCCTGCAACTGGCCGTCCTTGAAGGAGGTCGAGTCGGCGAGGATGTTGTAGGGCGACTCCCATGCGGTATTGGCGACGACGTGGTCGGCAAAGGCCCGGTTACGCTTACAGAAGCCAGCCTGGTCGCATTTCTTGAAGTCGTGCTCCTTGACGGCGACTGGAAGAGACGTCTGGTGTTAGTAGTGATAAGCTACGAATCGGGATAGGGAACAAAGCAACGCACCTGCTGGACCAAACAGGCCGGTCAAGGCAGATGCAAGACAGAGGTATGCCGTCCAGCCTCCCGACATGGACAGCTGGCCCGAGCCCAGCATCTCGAGTGGTGGTGCACCTCGCGGAAGGAGAACGCGCTATGAAAGTCCACAAGGAAGAGGAAGAAGCACCAAGCAGACAGGCAAGCAAGCAAACAAAAGGGAGAGGTTTAGAGGCTCGTTTGGATCATCAAGAACAACACTCCCGGCCTTGCTGTATTACAGAGTCCTTGAAGCTGTCGTCAAACTGCAGTACACAGTAGTCTGGTTGCAGTTCAGTTGGTTGTGTCGGGTACTAGGTATCCAAGTCACAAAACTTGGGGGTTAGGTTGACTTGTTGTCAATGTCAATCAACCAATGCCTGCTGCTGGCTTCAGATGGCAGTTAACTTGTTAGTTGGCCGCAACACCGGGCATGGAACTTGAGGCAGGCGGTGGTGCCCCGATTCGCCCCGTGAAAGCCAAGCAGGCCAAGCTGTCCCCTGCCAGCTAGCGCACCGCTTGGCATCGCGGGATTCGTTAGACGCATACCTAGTAGCTCTAGATGATAAACCGCGGGGTAATAAGTGTTGAGCATCTGCATGTCGACCTAAGCTCACCGTCTCAGTTCAGGGTCCGTACAACTGACTGATCAGTTAGTTGGTTTGGTTGTTAGTAAATGAAATGATAGCAGTCAACTAAAATGGATGACTTTTGTCGAATATTGAAGAGGAGATTTGGGGTTAGAGGTATCTCGGGAAGCAGAGGCTGCACGGGCCCTTCCAAATTCAACCTCAATGGATGGGGGACTCGGAGCACTGCGAGCTTTGCTGGCGTCCATCGTGGCTTCATCATGTCTTCCCACCTGGTTTCCGAGCTTAGGTTGCGCAACCGGGCACTTACACTACAAAACAGAGACCCATAAGACCAATTGACAACGTGTTGCCCGGCCGCTCCCTGTTCTCTGTCCCATCTCAACATTGACTCTGATCTCTTCAAAACCATCGCGTAAAAGTACCTACAGTAGCAGCCGTGCTGAGTCTGGACCTGCTGCTGTCATCCACAAAACCAGAGCTCGAGCTAAGCTTCAACTCACCAATTTGCTGCATCCAATAAGACCATGTCCGACACTGACAGCTCGGAACATCTGCGACGAGAACACGACGGACAACGCAGACCGCCGCCGCAACTGCAACAGAAGCAGCCCGAATCGGGAGGCGCAATGGCTGCGGGTGCTGCTTCTAGTGGTGCCCAATCGAGGGCGAAGGGGAGCTCCAGTCCCTCCAGAGACAGGCGGGCCAGCTCGTCCAGGGGAACGGCCCCACCC